ATATATATATACAAAAAAAAGAAAAAAGAAACGAACCGGACTTCTCCGGGTATCCTACTTTTGGTATATTTGTTCACGGTGTTTAATAGAACAGGAGCGGAACCTCTTTCAGAATAAACAATTACTTTTCATAAAATGAAAAATCTGTAAAAATGCATTGTTCTTTTAATTCCGTTATCTTTTGCTGTAATTTTTCCTCATATCATGCTATCAGATGAAAATAAGGTCATCAGATACCATCCTGAATGACAAAGAGTGGGCCGAGAGCTGTCATTGCAGCCCAGGGGTCAGGTCTGAGGGACACGAGCACAAGCCCTTTCCCAATTACCCAGAGGCCCTAGCCAGCTCAGTGTCACAAAAATATTCTACCCCTTTCTTAGGATCAACTTTACTGAGAAGTACATCTTCAGATGTCTCATTTTAGCATGAACTTTTCCTGACCCCAGAAATGGCAGGGAGAAGTCTGGCCGTTACTGGTCCAAGAGTAGATTATAAGAGGAGAGAGCCCTCAAAGAGGGGAAACCACACTTCAAGATGGCAGAAGTCCCTGTGTGCAGATACAACCAAACAGATTTAAGAGGAAACAAACAAATAAAGAAGCAATGTCCCTTAGACACACGGGACTTTCTTCTGTCCATGAGACTAACCTATAGGGAACAGCTGTGGAGGACATCTACAATAATGGAGGCCACCACGAGTTCTGTGGAAGGGGTTTGCTATTAAATAACAGGTTCCTACTGCTACTTCCTTTACCCAGCACCAAGCATCCCCCACACCACCAGGAACCACTGCAGGAACAGGAGGAGCACCATGGCCGATGGCTGCCCTACAGAGGCCGTTTCTAACCTACAGCAGCAGCATTTGTTCTCGGTAAAGATGGAACATGGTCTTCCTTCTGTAAGCATCTGTCCTGGTATTTTTTAACCTTAATTCAATTTAAAGATTTGATTTCTGTGCAAGTTTTTAGGAATACACCTGTTATAGAGAGCAAAGCACATACACCTGGGAGAGAGAAATAAACAGGACACCTGTGGTGAGTGGGCATCAGATAATATGATTACTCATGTTGGTCCACTCTGCTGTTAGTAGTCTGTGAAACTGAAGGGTACTGGGAGGAGAAAGAGTAGGATTATAGCTGCGATTGTCTGGATCTCAGGTGTCCTCCAAAGGCCTGTGTATTAAAGGCTTAGTACTCAGCTTGGCCCTATTAGGAGGTGGTGGAAAGTTTAAGAGGTGGGTCTTGGGGTAGGTCTTCCAGTCATTGAGGGCATGCCACTCAAGGGGTTGTAGGACTCTAATCTCTTTCTGCTCCCCAGCAAAGAGGTGAATGGTTTTGACACTTGCTGCCACCACGACATGCTCTCTCTCTACAGGCTCAAAAGCAACAGGGCCAACAAATCATGGGTTCACACATCCAAAACTGTGGGTCAAAATCAACCTTTTCTCTTTTTAAATTGTTATCTCATATAAAGAACTCAGAAAGCTGACCACCAAAAACAAACAAACAAACAAATAACCCAATCAATAAATGGGCCAAGGACCTGAACAGACACTTCCCAGAAGATGATATACAATCAATCAACAAATATATGAAAAAACGTTCATCATCTCCAGCAATCAGAGAAACACAAATCAAAAATACTCTAAGATTTCATCTCACTCCAGTCAGAAGGGCAGCTATTATGAAGACAAACAACAATAAGTGTTGGCGAGGATGTGGGGAAAAAGTACACTCATCCATTACCAGTGGGATTGCAAATTGGTGCAGCCAATATGGAAAAGCAGTATGGAGATTCCTTGGAAAACTTGGAATGGAACCACCATTTGACCCAGCTATCGCTCTCCTCAGTCTATACTCAAAGGACTTAAAAGCAGCATACTACAGGGACACAGCCACATCAATGTTTATAGCAGCACAATTCACAATAGCTAAACTGTGGAACCAACCTAGATGCCCTTCAGTAGATGAATGGATAAAAAAATGTGGCATATATACACAATGGAATATTACTCAGCAATAAAAGAGAATAAAATCATGGCATTTGCAGGTAAACTGATGGCATTGGAGAAGATAATGCTAAGTGAAGTTAGCCAATCCCAAAAAAACAAATGCCGAATGTTTTCTCTGATATAAGGAGGCTGATTCATAGTGGGGTAGGGAGGGAGAGCATGGGAGGATTAGATGAATTTTAGATAAGGCAGAGGAGTGGGAGAAAAAGGAAGGGGGCAGGGGGTTAACAAGGATAGTAGAATGTGATGGACATCATTATCCAAAGTACATGTATAAAGACACGAATTGGTGTGAACATAATTTATATACAACCAGAGATATGAAAAATTGTGCTGTATATGTGTAATAAAAATTATAATGCATTCTATTGTCATTTATTTTTAAAAAATCAATTAAAAAATAAAAAAAATAATGGGAATCTAACCTAACAGTCCTCTGTGGTTCCAGAAAAACTGGATCACCATGCTAAGCTGTATCATTTGAAAATTCAGTTTCTATCCTAAATTATGTCTACTGTGAGCCCAAGGTGACACATATGTGCCCACACTGACTGTCACCAGCATCTGTTCTGGGCATAGAACTTTAAAAGCCGAAGCAGAATGAACACTGTTGACACTTGTTTTCTGGCCCAGAAAATGAAACTAAAAAGGGAACCAAAATGTAGCCCTTAGGAATGATTCAGACTTCTTTGAAAGGGAAAAGAAATATTTAATTTTAGAAATTCTTATTCAGCCTGGTTAGTTACAGTGTTATTCATAATCTTATCATATCTTCAAAACTGACATACTGACTGTTAGGTCACCAGTGAAAGCAAACAAGGATGAATGTGGGAGAAGCAGAAATCTTCATGAGAAGATTTTATGCTAAAACTATTTAAAATTTTTATTTGTGATTAAAATAGACCTAACATAGAAATTTGCCATCTTAAGTATCTTCAGCATGATACACTGCATTTTGACTACTTACCTTGTAAACTGTCGACTCTCTTCATGTACTTCCATTTCTGTGCTTTTAAATTCATTTAGTTCTTTCCTTATGGCTGCCTAAACAGGAGAAGAAAAAATAGGCAAGTAAATTTATTACTTGGGTCCCATATTTCTCCAAGTCTATGTAGCATCAATGAAACAGACATCCTCTTAAGGAATGGCCGGGACAAAGGGATTCCGAATTCCCATGAGGTAAAGGTAGAATAATAAATGTAACATCACATTATGGGTCAAGCATCCCTAATATGAAAATCTGAAATTAGAAATATGAAAAATCTGAAAGCTTTGGAGTGCCCACACCATGTCACAAGTGGGAAATTCCACAACTGACCTCCTGTGATTGTCGCAAAAGGCAAGTGCGGTAACGATATTGGAGAAAGTGACCTTGAGGCTTGGTGTAGAAGAAACATAAGTGAATTTTGTGTTTAGACTTGGGCTCCGTCTCCATCATATCTCGTTATATGTATGGAAATATTCCAAAGTAGGAAAAAATTCCCCAACCAGAGAAACTTCTGGTCCCAAGCATTTCAGATGAGGGATATTTAAGGTGTAAATCCAAACCAAAATCAGGACTGACCTCTTCAAGTGTCTCTGACAACGGGGGTGGGGAGGGGAGCCTTGGCTAGACTCATAGCGCAGTCCATGAGTCATACAGAATATCCCCCACCTCGACAACCACAAGAAAGTGCTGGGCATGAGATTTTTCTGAGAAATAGTATCAGATTCCTATGAAAGTTCTGCACTTATTACCGCCCACAATAACATAGTTTTGACGAGCTGCCACAGAGCTACTGGGAAAGCAGTTGCTATTTATTCTTTAATATTAAAAGTTTAGATAAACAGAACTTGAAATTTCAGCACAGTGGGCAAAGCAACTCAAGGAAAATATCAAACAAGATGCATTACTATTTAAAGAACACATAACCTGTGCCGTGTAAACTTTGGTGTACAAAGAGATGCTTATGCCATTCAGAGCGAGAAGCTGAGACAGTCGTCAAAATGTTAACTTTAGTTTATCCGTTAACGAACAGTGACTGGATGGCGCATGATTTTGGGTTTCAAGTTTTTGATTATTTTTATTTCCTCATTTTTTTCTACGAAGAATGTCTTATTCATTTTTTTTTTCTTAAAGTACTAATAAAACACCCCTGAAACCTCTAGGCAAAAAAAAATGGACTCTTCAGTCAAAACACAGAGTGACAATATAAATCACAGAGAGTGATTTTGCTGAGAGATAAGAAAATCTGTTTTGTGGTTGGAAAATAATGAATTTTAGAAGAGGGAGAAGACAGAAGAAAGCCTGGTGGGCCCTTTCCCCCCCACGGATCACAGTGAAACCCACAAGCTTTCCCACCCATGTGCCTTCCAGTGTTCTGTGTCAATCCTGTTGACACAGAGCTCTCTTCTCCCCAGATACATTCCTCAGCCCCTGTAGTCTCTATGGGGAATCTGGGTGTGGAAACGGTGGTAATAATTCACAGTACTGATTTCTGGAAGAGCTGAAGCCAGCAGAGAAATGTTTGTGGGCCTGTGTCCTCCCCGACACGGCTGTTTTTCTCACTGCCTGTAAAAACTGATCCAGAACCAGAAGCCGGCAAAGCGGAAGACGCCCCGTGTCATTCACAATTCACATCTAGGGGAAATTCTTCTTTGAAAGAAAGTGTCTTAATTTGAAGAGGGGCAGAGAATCCTGCCAACGTTCACTTTAAATTTCTTCTCCAAATGGGAGGTCTTACTAGAGGGGGTGAGAAGCATCACGCTTGAAGTCAGAAGACACGGATTCTAGACTTGGCTGCTCCTTCCATAGCAGTGTGGCCCTGGGGGAGTCACCCTGCTCCCAAGCCACAGTTTTCTCATGGCTGCAGTTTGAATAAGTGTTCCCCAAAGGTCCATGTGTTAAAGGTTTATTCTTTAAGGTAATGCTATTGGGAGATGCTTGGGACTTTTAGGAGGCAGGGCCTTATGGGAGGTACTTAGATCACTGGTGAAGACTCTGGCCTGTGTTCTCTTTGCTTTTCAGGTTCATGATGTAAGTGGTTTGCTCCACCATATAGTACTCTCCATTGCCATCTAACGCCCCCACCAGAGGCCCGTATCCATGGAATCACTTGATCTTGAACTAGAGCCTCCAGAACCATGAGACAAACCTTTTCTCTTTATAAGATATTGCCTCAGGTATTTTGCTATAGTGATAGAAAACACTATGACATTCACCTGGAAAATTCAAATGAGAATTCCTCACAATATTATGAGTACTAATTCAGGGACATATCTGGAAGTACTTTGTATACTATAAAGCTATCAATAATGTCATTATTGTGAGGCATTCATAAATAAATTATTTGGGTTTGTGACTGTGACTTATAATGCCTTCATTTTCATTTATAGAAAAATTGATTCCTAGAACCAGAAGCTGGAAAAACTGAAGATGCTCCATTCCCAGTCACAATGCACATCTAAAAGAAGTTCTTCTTTGAAAGGAAGTATTTTCATTTGAATAGGGGCAGAGGCTCCTGCAAATGTTCATTTAAAATTTCTAGATCAAGAAGATGTCACTGAAGAAGACTCAAAGATATATAAGACAAAGTCCTCACTTGCAATAGTAGGTTGCCTATTGTTCTAAGAGTTTGGCAAAGACCAATGAAAGCATTCTGAGAGAATCAACTAGGATATGGAACTTAAAAACTAGCACAATTGTAAATTGTGTGTGACACATCCTTTATATTAATAAAATGTACAATTCTCTAATGACCATATATCTACACACACACTTTTTTATGCAGAGAGCCAAACACTTAGGGACACACCCCACATTCTCATCTGTAATGTGACCTTTCCATTTCCTCATCAAGAGTGGAGTCTTGCTCTCCAGCCTTGAATCTGGGTGAGTCCTATAACTATTTTGGACAACAAAACACAGTTGAGGTGATACTGTGTCTGTCAGTCTCGGGTGTAGCTCTTTTCTAGCCTGGTACCTCTTGCTTCTTAGAAGTCAGCTATCACGTAAAAACATGTGACTACTCTCAGTGAACCACACTGGGAGAAATCCCCAGGTACAAGGAAAGGCCTTAGAGGATGAGACCCTATGTAGACAGGGGGTGGTGGAGAGGGGAGTGGGGGGAGGATGAGACAGTGAGTGCACCAAGGAGCCAGAGGGCACAGACATGTTCCTGGAAGTGGAATCTAGCACTAGCATTTTACCTGATGCCATGCACATCAGAAACAAACCTCTGGGCTGGGATGTTCCCTCATCCTACCTCAAGTGAGCAAAATAAAATAGTTGATTTAAGCCACTTGGCTTTGGGGTTGTTTGTTGCAAAGCTGTGGTTAAAGTCAATCCTGTTCTATAACTTTTATCTTCTAGAAGATAAAATAGAGGCCTAGACACTCATGTGACCTGTTGGAGATCAAGTGTTCATACACTAAGTGACAAGGATGGGTCCCCTATATGGGCCTCAAGCCCTACACATTTTCCAGTAAAATGAGCCTAACTCATCCAGATAATTGCCTCAGATCTTCATGTTCTGTGTGCTGGCTTGTAATTAGAAATCATAAGTCAGTTATATGAGTGATGTGGCAATGAATGTTATGTAAAATTGCAGGGACTAATTGAGAAATATATCAGAAAGATATAACTACAGGACATGGCAGAAATGCAATATTTATTTTAAAAAATTCACTGAAGAATGAATTCCAGGAGTTAATAAAGAGAATGATTTCTTGAGAGAGATTAAAAAGGGGAAAAAGTAATTAATTAAGACTTTTTATTATTGGTGAAATGCATGTACATAATCTTAAATTTCTTCTTTACAAATGAAACTAGATTTTAGCCCTAATACTTTTCACTTAACTATAAATGGGACTGATTTTGTTGAAAGATATGAGATAGAAAAACGTGGGCTGAAATAGTGGGGTTGGAGGACAAACGGTGCTGGGTTGGATCACCATGGGAAGTCACTGAGAGACACAACCAACCAAAAACCACCAGGAGATAGCACTGAGACCAGATATGTAGTTAAATTTGGTATTATGGGGCTGGGGTTGTGGCTCAGTGGTCGAATGCTTGCCTAGCATGTGTGAGATACTGGGTTTGATTCTCAGCACCACATAAGATTAATAAATAAAATAAAAAGTCCATCAACAACTAAAAAATATTAAAAATTTTTTTTGGTATAATGAGAATTAAAGGAAAAAGGAAATGAAAATGACTAAAACTAGGTATAAAATTGACCAGTGGTGAGTAGTAACAGTTCTGCTTCATCAGCCCGTCAGTTAAGGGGGCATCCTGACAAGAAGCACCAGCAGATTTTTTTGACTATTACGCAACCTTCTCAAATAGCAAGGATGTAAGACCAGAATTAACTATGCTTTAACTTTTCCAATAGAATTCTGATGTGCAGCACAGAGTGGACTTCTTGACTACTCATTAGTTCAATGCCATGGGAGGGTAAACAGACTACCTTTTGCTACCAAGGCAAATGAGAACTGGCCAAAGACTATACTATAGAGGGCTAAAATCTCAGTCTTTCCTAAGACCTATGTAGATAGTGCTTTCCTGAAAAGACAGTATATTCTGCTCATCCTTGTATCCCTAGAGTCTGGGGGAATATTTAACATATTTAACATGTAAGGGCTTTAATGAATCATTACTGAGTGACCCACTGGGCAAATCCGTGTATCATCTGAAAAAATTTGCATTCTCTTTCACTAGAAAATTTTACACTAGACTATAAGTTGAGGCTTCAATAAATAATGAAAATGTCACCAATGGGGTATAAAGCTTCAATTCTAAACCTGATTATGAATGTAATAGTGGTAAGATTATAAATGTAATACTGATTATGAATGTAATACTGATGAGTTGGGTCAAGACAGATATTCCATGTAATTCTCAATAGATATAATTGACTCTGCTTTACTAGTGAGGGCACTTAGGTTAAACAACTTGGCCAGAAAACAAGTGGCTAAGAATCACACCCAGCTGCCCAGCTCCAATGTGGGCTGTCTTCTCTCCATCCTGGATCTTCCATGCTCCACCCCATGGGGATGGTAACTCAAGTGAGCCTACTGGATGGTCTTTTCTTGCTCTCCCTGTGTCTTTTGTAGGTGTTATCTGAAATCCATGTGTTGGAAATTTAATTCCCAAGCCAACATGGTAGGCAAGGCCTAAAAAGAGGTGATTAAATCATAAGGGCTCTGCTGTCATGAATAGATAGTGCTGATATCATAGGAATGAGTTAGTTATCCCAAGAGTGGATTGTTTAAGAAGCCAGTTCTGCCCTCTCTTGCTGTCTTATGCTCCCTTGCTCTTCTGCCTTCTGCCATGGGATGATGTAGCACAAAGATGTGGCCTCTCTATCTTGGACTGGCTAGCAACTAGAACTATGAGCCAAATAAATTTCTTTTCTTTATAAATTAACTAGTCTGTGGTTCTATGGACTAGTAATACAAAATGTACTAAGAAAACCTGTCCATCATTTTAGGGCTGGCTCATTTATCTCCTTCAGTGCAGGAAATGAGGCCATCTTATCTTACTGTACCTGTATCTATTTCTAGTGCTCCACCTAAGCACATATATTGTAAAATTGAAAATCTTATTTTTAAAGGTGAATTAAACTAATAAAGCTTACAATTATTAAGGCACTCTCCCACCACTTCTTTCTCAGCATGAAGACTTTAACAAATTACCAGATTGGTGAGATTCCGCACAGCATCCTGCCAAGTAATCTCACAGAAGAGGCATTAACTTGATTGACTGATTGACTACTGATCTTTAAAAATGCAAGGTGTTATTTTTTTGTTTTTCTTTTCTTTTCTTTTTGAGTCAGGGTTTCGGTATGTTGCCCAGGCTAGTCTTGAATTTGGGGGCGCAAGTGACACTCCAACTCAGCCTCCCATGTAGCTGGGCCTATAGGTGTGCACCACCTTGCCTGGCTCACAAGGCAGAATCTTAATAGGGCTGTGAAAGCGGCACTAAAAGAGAAGGATGGTTTTAGATAAGCAGGTGTGTTTATTTGAGAGCAGAGATGGAAAATATTTACTTGCAATTGTTTTTTTTTTAAATAAAATATAGAGTTCAAAAGTTAAAATATAAAACTCATTTTAACATAATAGTTAAATTACAAATTTTTACACCAATTAACTTACTATATAAAATACATTATTTAGAATCTGATCAATGTATATTATGAAGTGGTTTATTTTAAGGTAAAAAGCAATAGAAACTCAGAACAACTTGCTGTAAAAATTATTGGCCTGTGTTATTCTCATTCTAAAATAAAATACATAATAACGCTATATGGTTTTAGTATCTCTGGGCCATAAGTAATACTTCATTATACTTATACTTATTTTTCTGTTAAGTAGAAAATATTATTTTTTGAAATTATTAAAAATACTATGCACTATGTACAAATATGGCATAACAAATTCTGCTATTATGTATAATTATAATGCACCAATTAAAAAAATACCACACACTAATGTGCATTTTAATTGTTAGTCTCTTGTTTTTGAATTTTTGGATATTCTGATGTTTGTCAATGAACACAAATCACTTGTGTTTGTATAATATACTAGATTTAAACAGCATATTAAATTGTTGCATTCTTTTCTATTTTCTACCATTTATATATATATATAATTTAAATATATAATTAAATCAAATATGTAAATATATATTCAATATATAATTAAATATATATTGTTATATAAATAAAATTTAAAAATTCTACCTGAAATAAATTCTTTTAGAAAACACTTATGGACCACCCCCCCCAACACACACATAAATCCAGTTCTGAAAATGTCCTTTACACGTTAAAAAGTCTCAAGGGAAATGCAAGAAATGCCAGAAGCAAATGAGTCTCCCCTGAGAGTAGGGAAGGGCTCTGGCTCTGCTCTGGGTCTTGGGGTTGGATCTGCAGGGGAGATGTAAAAGTTCTGTGCCTTCAAAATACTAAGCCTGCAGGAGACACCCTGACCAAGCCCATGTCCCCTGCAGCCTAGGGATCTGACACAAAAAACATATTTTTGTCTCAATACATTTTTATAAAGTCCTCTCTATTATAGTTTGAGATGAATGAGCTTTATCTCCCAATAACAGAACCAGCATTAAGAAAAACTATTCTAGGGTATGAAAAGCGTAGTTTTTATATGAGGGTAGTTAATCACTTGGATTCTCACTGCTTGTACAATTTACACCTGTTACGATATTTTTATTCATTTACCTGGCACTTCCTGCCTTTCTGGAGTTCAGCATTTGAGTAATAAGACAGCTGGTAATGGGGGGTGTAGCAAATTATATTTTCCAAAGATGGCTAAAACAATACCCTCAGTGCACATGTTTTTCTGTGAAATGATCTTGCCTTTTCCCTGTCTAGAGGTAGAACCAATTCCCTTTTCCTTGAATCTGAGCTGGCCTTATAACTTGACTACAACTAACAGAATGTAGTGGAAGTAAAGCTGCATCAAAAAAGGCCAGGTACCTTTTACCTGGCTCTGGAACACTGGTTCTGGGGGAAGCCACAAGTAAGAAGCCTGGCAGCTGTGGGAGTACATGTGCAGGTAGGTAGTTTGGTGGACAGCCCCAGCTGAGCCCAGCTTCTGAGCCATCCCCACCGCAACACTAGGCACAGTGGAGAAGCCATCCTAGACAGTCCAGAGTAGCCCATCTGTCAGCTGAATGACATGGATTGACTCAAGTCAACCTCAGGAGAAGCAGAGAAACTGCCCAACTGACCCCCGACCAAATCTCAACCTATGAAATCTGAAAAATACAATGAAATATTTTTCAATATTGTTGCTGCTTTCAACCACTAGTTTTTTGTTTTTTGTTTTTTTTGTACAGGAACAGTGACTGGAGCAGGGCCAATTGGAAGCCACTAAATGAGGGGTGAGTAGCCAAAGGTCCACAGATGAAAGAAAAACACACACAAAGGTGTACACCATTTCTTGCAGAATGGCACACCAGATTCCTTGATTCATCCTCTTATTGAAAAGAACATGCTAAATGTAGCATTTAAAACATTGTCTTCAGCTGGGGATATAGCGCAGCTGGCAGAGTGCTTTCCTCAAACGCACAAGGCCCTGGGTTCTAATCCCCAACACCATTAAAAAAAAAAAGAAAAGGAAAAAAATTGTTTTCAATGCATCCTAGAGCTTCTAAAACAGCCAAAACTATTTTGATAAAAAAGGGTAAATGATGATGAAGCTCAGAGAATAAAGTAGACAAACTATGAAACTGTTCTTAACCTTGAACTTGAGAGGTCATTTTGCAGCCTGCTGAGATGTAGAAGACAAGAGACTGCCTAAGTCAAATAAATAATCCTCCCTGTATAAAGTGGGGACTGATGGCAGACTCCAAGGACAGCAAAGAAAACTGCACACAGATGTTCAATAAGTAAGGTCGGGGTGTGTGAGTATAGATGCTAGTTGAGAATTTGAATCCATGTCAGCCAACATGCAGGTTTGCAGCCAGAATTCACAGTCCTAAGGTAGCCTAATGTAATTCATTTTGAAAATCTCATTAAAACATACTGTTAAATGAAACAAATATTATAACGAAAGACGTTTCTTGAGATACAATCTCATAACAAAGATTTTTTTGTCAGGAAAATATAGTTATCCTAAATACCTATGACACACCTGGAATGCAGGAATGAAAATTGATAGAATTATGAGAAAGGGGAAAAATCCAAATAGTAGAAGGTTTAACTTGTCTTATTAACAGATCAAGTAGACAGGAAAATAAGGATAGAAAAATCTGAATAACTAACCAGCTTGATCTTATAGACATATTTAGAATACCACACCCAGAACTGTGGAACACATATTGTTTTCAAAGATATATAAAGACATTTAAAATTACTGACCACATACTTTAAAAATCCTAATACATAAGGCCACACCCCAGGCAAATTAAATCAGGATCTCCTCATACATCCTCATTTTTAAAACTCCCCAGATGATACCATTATGCAGCCAACTTGGCAAACCACTGATATACAGGGTAATTTATAACCTCCAGTGCTTATTTTAAAAATTAAGGAAGGCCAGGTGCAGTGGGCCATGCCTGAAATCCCAGCAGCTCAGGAGGCTGAGACAAGAGGATCCCAAATTCAAAGGCAGCCTCAGCAACTGAGAGAGGCCCTAAGCAACTTGGCAAGATTTAGACCTAATCAACTTAGCAATATAAAAAGGGTGGGGATATGGCTCAGTGGTTAAATGCCCCTGGGTTTAATTCCCAGTACAAAAAAAAAAAAAAAAAGAAGATAAATCTTACTATATAGGGTCTCTAACTTAAGTTAGAAACAAACAAGTTAAATAAAGCCAGAAAATTTAGAAGGAAGGGAAAAAAAGAGCAAAAACAGTAATCTCTCTTTATCTGTGGGGGATATATTCCAAGACCTCCATTGGATACCTAAAAACATGGATACTGAGCCCAACATATACTGTTTTTTCCTATGCATAGTACCTATGATAAATAAAGTTGAATTGATAAATTGGGTATAGTTAGAGGTTAAAAACAATAACTAATAATACAATAGAATAATCATTCTATTACCTGAACACAAGCACTGAGGAACCTTGACAGTGGATTTGGTAACCAAGATGGCTACCAAGTGACTAACAGGTGTATACAGAAAGGATATGTTGGACAAAGGGATGATTCACATCCAGGGTGGAAGTAGTGGTATGTAGCAGGACAAATCAAGATTTTGTTATGTTACTGTTTGGGAACAGTATACAATTTAAAACATATGGAAATTTCCATTTAATATTTTTCATTATTAGTCAATTGAAACCCTAGATATAGGGAGACTTCTGTAACATAGAAAAGAAATATAAAAGAGATTACCAACAAAGCTAAAAGTACACCTTACCCCTTCCCCTCTAAAATTAATTCCAGGTAAATCAAGAAATTTAATGTGAAAAACAAAACAATAAAGATCTAGAAGACAGTATGGGGGATATATTTATGATTTTAGAATGGGAAGAATTCTTTTTGTTCTTGCTAGTACATTTTAGTTATACATAATATTGGGGGTTCATTTTGACATAATCATACAAGCATGGAATATAATCTGTTCTGTTTCAGTCCCTGGTGTGTCTCCTTCCCCAGCCTCCTTTCTTCACTCTACTGATCTTCCTTCTATTTATTTATAGTTTTTTAAAAATAAGTGTTTTATAAATACACATAAAAGTGACATACACTGTGGAATATTCATATATGCACTAGCATAATTTGATCAATTTCATTCCACCATTTTTCCCATCCCTCTCCCTTCCCCCGCAATCTCCTTTTAATGCTCCATTGATATCCCCTCTATTTTCATGGGATCCCCCACTTTTCCCTTATTTTCATCTAGGTTCCATATATGAGAGAAAACATTATTTTCAGAAACAAAATCATAAGCCATTAAAAAGTCTGTTGAAACAACCACTTAAGGCATCCCCTTTTCATCAGAAGATCCCATAAACAGAGTTGAAATATCAAAAAATGGGAGAAGATACATATTTACTTGCAACATATATAACTGGAATACATGAAAATCCTCTGTGAATCAACAAGAAATTGACTACCCAAAAGAAAATGGGCAAAAGACAAGGCATTTCCCAGAAGTGGAACCTTAATGCCCAACAGACATACAAAAAATAGTTTTTTAACTTCAGGAATAATTAGTAAGAGGTAAAGCCCAAGCACAAAGAGGTGCTATTTCATGGGTGTGGTTGGTGGGTTGAATCTAGTCTGCTCCTTGTCTTTGTAAATAAAGTTTTATTGGAACATACACACACATCTATTCAATGACAAATGTCTATGGCTGTTCTCATCCTAAAATGACAGAACTGAGAAGTTGCAAGAAAGATTGTATGGTCCATAAAGCCAAAAATATTTACTCTATGGCCATTTATAGAAGAAGTGTGCCAGTTTTCCATAGTTCACATATCTCTTTAGAATGATAAATTGAATAAGTTATATTTTCTAAAAGAAAGGATAAACCCTGGTTCTGGGAAAGCCCTGTTCATCCAGGTTTGAATGAAGACAGGTTATATGGTAACCAAGGACTAGTTTTCCTTGAGATTTACTTGGAAGAACTATATTACTATTACTAAATGCGTCATTTAAGCAGTTGAAATAATCAGAGACAGAAAACTGTTGGACTACTCATTAAGATCTGGCCCCCTAGGATGACCAAGTGGAAGGGGGGTGAATACGGAGTTTTGGGGAAAGCAGTGTGATCAACACCAACACCACTGAGAGTCTTGCCTTGTCTGCAGGTGTCAACCTAGCCCAGGGCTTGTCTGCCCGACGGTCGTAGTCGGGAGAATCGGTGACTTCTACATACTCGTTAAACCGCAGGATCCTTCGAGCTTGTAGCTCTGCCACTGTGGGTCTCAGGCTGAGCTGCAGGAGGAAAGAGGGAAAAAGTGGAGATCAGTAAACCATTTATTGCTTCATGGTGGCAAGTTTTCTATAGAGAACACTTCAAAGTTATGGTTAAATAAGGTCACTTTCAGGTATCAAAAAAAAAAAAAAAAAGGCAGCATCATCTCGGGAATTTGCAATGAGAACTAGAAAGCAGTGTGCCCTAATTTTTGAGACTATAAAAAATCATCATTGTTAGATAGGTCACATCTTTGACAACATGAGCATTATACTATTTCCTTCAACTTGTCTGGCACGGCGATAAAGGTTTATCTGTCACCCATACAAGGAACATGCAGACCTGATAGTAACCCAGCTTCAGGATGGCTGGGTTGGTAGCTGAGTAGCCTGGACAAAAGCGGTGACACTTTCAGAAATGAGAATAAAAATCTGTGCCCCTACTACACCAAACCTATATATTCAGAAATGCACAAATCTATGACACAGAGCAGTCTGGAGAAAGGGTCTGCCTACAGCACAGCCCCTAGACAGAAGGACCCTCATGCTGACATATAAATGTCATAAGACCCTGCCATAAAGACCACACTCAAGATGACGAGGGAGCGTTGCTGGAGAACTGCCCTGCCAGCAGCCTTCATGACTCCTGTCATCACCGAGTTCCTCCTTATGGTCTTTGTTCAGTTCAAATTTATAATTATGATGAATCTTGCCAACCCTGTGGGTATTTACTGTCCTTTCTTGGTTCCTTTCTAAAATCCCAAGAATAAGACCAAAATAATTCTGATGGATGAATGAAACCTAGCCCTTGGTTGACAGGCATTATCTGCTCTCTGCTATTGAGAGTCAAAGCCTTTGGAGACTTTTTCCAGTTTGGAGGTCTCATAGTATTTCCAGATAGGTGGACTTAGACCTCTATTATATCTAAAGGGATTATTTTCAGTACCTTTCCTCACTTTAGGTACTCTGTGTATAGCCAGACACTCTCCTCTTTGGACACATCCTTACTTGCTTTGGCTCAGGGATGTGAACTGTGTCTGTGCTCTATAGTGAAAAAACAGGCCCTTTCCTGGTCCTGTTTCCTCCTGAGAAAAACCAGGGATGGAACTGCATTAGAGCTCTAATACTGCAAGGATTCAAGGACTCCAGAAGGCCTGGAACCACACCCTGAGCTCACTGGAGCTGGGATAGAGCAACTGTAGCTCCTGACTTCATGCAGCTCTGACGGGCAATGGATAAAGGAGAGAATAATCAAAGAGGTGCGGTTGCATCCTGAGACGCCACATAATCTATACTGCTAGTATTTTTGCCTTTCTAGAGCAGATGGAAATAAGGAGGAAAAGAAACCCTTGTGCCTGAGGACTGGTCAGAATGCAAGTCCACTGGTCCGTGGCCACACAAATCAGAAATTCTCCACTCAGTCTTCCCATGAGAACTGTACCAGTCATGGGGTAGCTTCCAGGATGACTTTCAACCTATGGCAGGGAGTACTGTATGGTGGGGAAAGGTGGGGAGGTGCTTCATGGAGGGGCCGAGGTGGATTGCAAAAAAGGCTCTATATAGTCCAGAACTGAGCCCAGAGCAATGCAGAGGGGCGACCCCCCTTGTCTGCGGCTGGTAACTCAAGGGCCACTGAATGCTAGCATCATCATCCCTAGAAATTAAATTTAAAGAGTCTTTCAGCTTGAGCACTATTTGACATTTAGAAGCTTTGAGGGGGGAAAAAAAACCAGAGAAATGAACTAAGGATATTTTCTTGCAAGGGGAAAAAAAAGCCTAAAACTTTCCAAATCCAGTCCCTATAACTTTTCCACAGGAGTGGAGTGTTTCCTGAACCGCCTTAGAATGCTTTTGCTCTGAACTCCCCAGCCAGCCCTCAAAAATGTGGGTCAGGCCACACACTTGACTGTGGTGCCATATTTTAGACACCCTGCCCTTTTCCAGGTATGAAAAGTATATCTAAAGAATTATTACAAGGATTTATAATGAAATACATACTTGGAGAGTGCTTAATTTCTCCAAATACTATTATTTTAACACAGAAAAAAAAAGAGTGATGGCTCTGGAATCAGATTTATATTTTCATAAATAAGTGGAAACAATCTTCTGAGTTTTAGAGCCATTTGTCGATTTGGGCAGTACTGGCAAACAGACTGTTGGACAGTCAAGCTCACATAGTAAATTACCCAGTTCTGATATGGAATAGTGGCAAATCTTCATAGTCACAAAATACTTTTTTAATATTTCCAAGATGACATGGAAAGTGTGAGCATTTTTTAAAACTATTTTTTTAAATGGAAATATATACATTTAAGTGTTAATCATGGTTCTTGGAACAGCAGATTTTTGTATGATAGTTACAGTGTTTTGTTCCTCTTTGTATTTTAAAAATATTTTTAAATTTTTACATAGAATATATTTTTTTCATAGTAAATGCAACTTAAAACCTTTGATTAATAACTTTTTGAAATTAACATGTAAATTTAAGTGAATTCATTTCATATACATTGCATTGGTTTTAGTGTCTACAATTACTTAGTAGACTAATAGGAATAATTATTCCTCAACATCAGATTTGAAGAAAGTGGATATATATTAAAAAAAAGAAAAAACACACAAACAACAAAGTATATCCCGTATATCCCACAACATGAATGCTCATTAGCAGCCACACTGTCATCACCTTTCGACTGAGCCTGCGTTTAAGTTCCATTTTTGCTTCTTGTTCTTCTTCTTCATTCTTTTCTGTTTATGAATGGGGGGAAAGGCAAAATGATTTAGATAATTTTACAATTATATAAGTAATTTTATAATTTTAAAATTACTACAGATAATTTTACAATCAGAAAAGTCTACCAGGCCACAATTACTAGAATCTACCTGATACTGGTTGAGCACTTCATTGATATCTTTAAAAAGCTGTCAAAAGATTTTGCAGAAAGACCAGTCACACACAGACACACACACACACACACAGACACAGACACAGACACACACACACAGAGACACAGACACAGACACACACACACATACACACACACACACACACACACACACACACTACATGCATATATGTGTATATAACTCTTTCCTTTGCAGGATTTGTTACTAACTTTAACTTATTTTTACTTCCAGATTCCTTGTTCTATTCTGAAAATCCCTAGGAGTGCTTAGAATCTGGTGAAAGCCTTCTATTGCTGAACATCTCATGGGCTTAAAAGCACAATTTACCAGAATTCAGATCAAACTTTACTTCTGGATCTGGCCTTTATGTAAAAAATCTGAGACATATTAAAAGAGCAAATTAAAACCATCCAATGCATGTCTGAACTGCTGCTTTCCATTCAAGTCCAACCAAAATATTTGATCTGTCTTCCTTGGTTTCCATAGAAGCTGAATGTAAGCATTTCTTTGGGCTTTACTTTCAAACCAGAATGTTCTGAATGGGGTTATGGTGTACTGTGGGTAGAAATTATTTATTTTCTTGTGACTTTAACTTTCCAGAGTCTTCTCTTTCTGTAGTGCTTCACCAAGTAGTACAACTTAATGCTGTCCAACAGATGGGATTTTAAAAAAAGTTCAGAACTTTTAAAGAAACAAACACCCTTTCAGCTTTTATTGGGTGCTTATTTAAGGAACTTCTTTCTTGCTTCCTGGAGCTCATCCTCTGGTGGACAAGTAAACACAGATTTTACTTTTTAGATACTAATGCTTATCAAAGATCATCTTTCAGAAAGTGATATCATGAATTCAATGGAAAAAAAGTCACATTGTATAAGGGATCAACTAGAAAGCTAAAGAAGAAAAAAATCTACGAAAAAAAATATAT